CTACTCTTTGCTGGCGTTACAAATTCAGGTATTGCATCAATGAAAAATCAAAGACTATGTGATAGCTATTTAAAATTAACTTCTTGACTTTCTTTGACCTTGTAGTTGTTAATTTTACCTAGTGAAGCTCACCTCACCTAGCAATTTTAAGCCCAGCTCACCTCTATCTATCAATATCTTATTTTAATATTGCATGAGATTTCTTTGAGTTTTATAATGAGGACTCATGATTGCTGTGCTTTTCAGAAAATTCACATTACACACTATGTTTTGTAGGATATGTCTAGTTTTGCATTGTCTATCTGAGTATTATTTTGTTATACCAGCATCCAACCATTAGTCAACTAGGTTTTTCCAGCATATGCTCTCATAGTTAAATTGCTTGCACACAGGAAGGAGTTACTAGTATAATATTCAACGCATCCATTCCTTTTCTTAATATGAAGAAGCAAAGATTCGAAGGTAATTTATCCAGATTCGAGTTGCCATTAAATAGGCCTCAGCGATTTCTTCATTAAAATCTAGCAGCGTAACTGCCAAACTCGGTCTTGGCAATTTTTTATATTTAACTTTATTTGGGATAAGGTACTTAGTCAAATGTTTGATGGTTTAGATGCTATGTTTCTCTTCACAAACTGTATTTTGCCAATACCTGCCTTTCCTAATATCTAAGAATTTACTTTTTCTAAATCGGATTATGCTTGACAAGGTTAATTCATCTTTCTTTACAGAATTATAATCTGAATTTCGTGTTTACAGGGACAAACGCGACATAATTTTTTTCCCGTAGATATGATACGAATAATTTACTAAAAGTTTGGCCTTAAAAGTATTCACACGTCTATGATATCAAAATTTGTTTTACCTCAGATTTGATACTATTCGTGGTATATTAAGTTTTGAAAGTATTTGATATTTAGGTTTTATAGCGAAGTATATATCAAATTTGAATCAAAATTCGTCACACATCTTGATTTTCAATTTAGCTTTATGCTTAATATACATTTTTGGTTTCGTACTAGCTTTCAATCTGCGATCCGACAGTCGCCATGACTGATTACCATTGCCGGCCTGAGGAAGTTGGCTCAATTATTTTTTTTCGACCTGGACATTACTGGATTTTTGGTTGGCTTCAACTTCTGCCAGTAATTTCGTGTCAAGATGCTTCTGACACCATTCGGGCGGATTCAGAAGCCTCGAGCTCCGCAGTTATGTCTATTCCGTCTTCAGATCAAGGTCTGGCAAACACGAACGATTGCACATTTGCAAATTTACCAGATGAAGGCAGCATTATTTATTCAGCACGTGGTATCTACGTGCATGTGCAAAGCATGCCAACTGATGCTATTTTGATGCCACCTTAGCTCGCATTGCAAAACTTACAAAGTTAACTATCGGCCTGTGCCATAATATGCGAAATAACAACCGCTGGCTCTATTCAATTCAATCCCTGTTCATTTTTCCTCTCTAACTTGTGTATTATTCCTTATATTCATAG